CAACACTGTACTACAACGTTATATATCCGTACTGATACAACGGTACGATATATTGCACACAAGTATGTGAATGAGCAGCGGCTACTTCTACTATTGTAAATTATATCAGGTATTTAGAGGCTTCCTTCTGGAGGATCTTAGTAAGATACCTTTCCCCACCTTTAGAGATATATATATACAATATTAGAACCCGAGCGAAGGCGGACGTTTGCAATAAATCAAAAACGATGTCCAATTTTATTGCATTTTTTTAAAGGACTCGGTCAACCGTTGAGCGAACCGCAATGATAACCCGGAGCTCGTTCGATATTAGTTGTTTGTTGTCGATTTAGAATTAATTAAAGATCATAAATTGGTATCAAATGCTTCGACATAATTATTGGATTGAAAGCAAATTGAGCATGAAGTTGAAAAAGTTAATCGTCCGGCAACTAGCATAAAGTGGGAGCGCAGGAAAATATCACACCCGCATCCACCAGCGTTAGCAATAGCCGTGAATCACTGATTTGGCGCTGTTCGTAGCAAGCAACATTGTTCGTTTCATTGGGTTATTAACATTTTTTAATTTTTTTTATTTATTTTTTTTTTTTTTTTTTGGAAAATTCAGAGAAAATATTAGTTATTAGCAAAATGATATTTTGAATATATTTTTATAATATAGAATTAAATTGGTTATGTAATATATCAACTCATATACCAAAAAACAGTGGCAGCATATAGGATTCGGCAAGCAGGGGGCTCGGGGACCGAAACACATTGGTAAAGCTCAAGACAAAAATTTACTAAACAATTAATTTTTTCTTAATATGAAATTTAATAAAAAAATACAATCAAAATTATATTATTTGCCTTTGCGTATAATTTCATCAAGTTTAATTATATTATAATTAATTTTTTTTCATTTGTCAATATACATATAAATAAATATTGTTTGGTTTATTGTAGTTTTCATCATTTTTTGCGGCTTCTATTTTTTCGTTTGATTTGTCAGCTGTGGTGGGATTCCCTATTGTATTATAACGATTTTCAAATCGTTAAATAACTTACCGGTAATTTTAAAGATTTTGATACTGATCGGCTGTTGTCGTAAACTACCCGAAAAATCGTTAACTAAACGACGATTATTCTGAAGTTGTTTGCACTATAGACAAAATATTGATATTATATTAAAATTAAAGTAGAAGTGAAAATACCTAATCTACATAAAAAGTAAAAGAAAATAATAAACACATATGGCTTTTGAGTATTTGACATACGTTTTATACCAAAATAAGTAGGTACCGTACCATCTATCGAGAAGTGGAACACAGTTCAGTGTATTCGTACATAGATATGTGACTCTTCAGGCCTATTCTGTCGAGGTAACAAAATTTGCTTTGGTATTTAAATTTACTATTAAGTAAATTTTGTTACTATTTCGTATTCTAAGTTCACTGTCACCCTGTAAATTTTGTTACCAGCGAAAATGGAGGCAACAAAAAATATATTGTTTAATTTTGTGTAGTTAGTTTTAGAAAAAATAAAAATCAAAAAGGGGTAGGCATATTTTAGGCCTGGAATTCATTGAGAATGAAGAAAAAAGTGGAAACGGGCGCATGCTAAGAAGTTTGCGAGAAACAAAGTACCCTTTTAATTTGGAAGATAGCGTTTTCATTCAGCTTGGTTTTGTCGCTTAGACATATTTTCCAAAATTAGGTTCTTATATTTATGATTTAATAAACACATAAATAAAACTTATTATATAGTTGTGCACCGCCTTCCATTACGATGTGAATATTATTCTGTTTTACTATACCAACTAGCAAATGTAATTTTACAAGGACGAAAAAAGCAGTGCTGCCGAAGTTTTTTCAAACATTGTCACCAGTTCGGCGGAATACTCAATTCATTTTCGGGTGTTAAAAACAAGTAACAAAATTTACTTTACCGGTACAGTGGGAATGGGCCTGCTTATCTAAAGATTTTGGAGCAAAGTTCTAAGCACCCAGGAGTACGGTAACAATTTTCATGTGGAGCTGCTCTGCTGTGGGAAGAGTCATACAGAAGTTCTGAAGTGACTTATTTAATAAAAATATACGCTATTACGATGTTTTTTTGTTTTTGTCATTTCTCTTTGCGCTTTTTGGATATTTTGTTTTGTTAAGCTGTAAAGCCACCTCCTTCTCCATTTTAATAAAAAGAGAGGCGAAAATGTCTAATACGAATGACAAATGAAAAGGATATGGCGATAACTAAAGCACGATTATGTCAGAAACTTCTAAAACTGAATACGACCAATAGATGGGGTATATAAGAGAACGACCAACGCAACGTTCACCAGTTACAATGTGAACACGTTGGTGACAACATTGGTGCAAAGTAAAAATAGTAGAGAGCCAAAGTTTAAATATAAGCCGTTGTATAATAAACCAATTCGTGACTTATTGAGTATTAAATAGACGTTGATTAAATCCTTTGCAATTTAGCAATTGACGTCACAATTTTTAAATATTCCGAAGGCTAAGAATTTACAATTGCCTCTCAAAAGGCAACTTGCGAAGCGTGGGTTATCCACAGGAAATGAGGCGAAGCTACAATTACGGCTGTGAGATGCTATGGAAGCTGAAGGTGTTGCCTTCAGACAAAATTAAATGTAGAAAATGACAGGACAGAAGATGGTTGCGATTTCTGTCAACATTTCATCCCAACTACAAGAACAGGATACAGAAATAACTGACCAGAATGTCTGCATTTAACACAAGATGGGTGACCAGGAAGCACGTATTTTATTCCAGTTCATAAAGCTTCAGGACAAATTAGTCGAAGAGAAGGCATACTTAAAAGCACGACAAAATAAGAACGAGGACAAAATAAATGTGATGAAAGGGTATCATCGGAACCTTCAAATGAATCGTCCAACCCCTTCAACAAACGCTCTCAGGATAAAAATACCATCCTTTGTGAGTACAATTCCTTCTCAGGGTTTCAAGCTGCAGTTCGAAAAGACGGCTACAGCAAATAACTGAAGCATATGGGTAGGAAAGCGGGCAACGGTACTATTGGCGGGTATGTGAATGAATATGAGCGAATACCAACTGTGGATACGAGCACATCGCTCTCCATCATTCAATCTGACTTGATCATAAAAGAAGTAAAGTCATTGCTTGGAGAAAGATTAAGGACGGCAACATAAGTCACCATAGAGAATGTTGCGGTATTACTCAAGTTCATAATAGCTCAGATTGCAGATGAGGTCATCACAGCAGTAGACTTCTTACAAGGCAAGGCTTTAAGATCAATTTGCATAACAGAATTAACTAGTACAAAAACATGGAAGTGCCACTTAGCATTGCTTATAATGGCTAGCACAGTAGTAAGCGAGTGATCTTACAAAACAGCGAATAGATTTCTCCAAAGTCAGAAGCAGTTGCTTGGGCAAAGATTGATGGAGATTATGGGATAAACAAATTGTGGTTTGTCGAAACAGCACAAAATTCTACATTTATAGGTAAAATCTTCGCAAAGACGCAAACGAATGGACAGATCCCAGTTCATATATAATATTAAAAGAACTCAAACCACCAATAAAACAGCGAAAAGGCACTGTATTGGAACAATATCTACAGGTGGACGCCTTCGTCAACAGCAAGTAATTATCTGAAACCAACTACATTGGCAAGAAGCATATTTAGAAAGACATAAAGGCATGGACGAAAGAGTTGAATGGCAACGACCAACTTAAGGCCAAACAATTTCTCCGCAAATACTTCAACATATTTGATAATAATTCCAACCTGCTCAGATTGTTCCACTACCCAAACCTGAAACTGTGAGCCAAATTATGAAGGAAATGAGCAAGGCTTGGACATTTAGTTTTAGTTTTCAAGAGGCTAACTGGTGTTGGTCTCATACTTAATTTTAAGAAGTGTTATTATTTAAGAAGTGAACTACTGGGACCATCAGGTAACGACGTCTGCCCTGCAAAAGAGTAGATAGAAGCACTGAGGGATTGACATTTGAAGATCTAGGAGCTTGCCTGAGCAACGGAGTTTTCTTTCTTACTTATCGCCGATATGTTTCGGCGGGAACAGGCGGATGCTTTCCAAACTCTGGAGAAATGGATGTACACTGCGCGTATGATAGCATAACCGGTTAAAGACACAACATTTATTCTGGATACGGATGCAGGTGATTATGCGATAGGAGGGGTTATTTCATGTAATTGATGGTCAGGTGAAGACAGTTGCCTACTACAGACGGCCCATTGGATAGCCGGAGCGAAACTACTGCGATACTCAGAAAAACTGCTGGCATTAGTACATTGCACCAAACATACAAAATCTGTATGGGCAACATTTCCGAGTTAGAACGAATCAACGAATACAGCACTGAAGTGGCTACTACAGTTGAAGAATGCTGAAGTACAATTAGCACGGCAGATTGAGAGACTATAAAGTTATGACTTCACTATTGAGCAGAGGAAATAACCACGGAAATGTTGAACACTGCTCAACAGCTGAAAGTAAATAAGACGTAATAGACGTCCCACTAGCACTAACTGTTGTCCGCCTAAAAGTTCTGGACAATTGGGTCTCGACTTCTAACTGTGAAGTTTATAACTGGATACATAAAATAATAACAGAATTCGGAATGAACGTACAATGCGACCTACTCCCTCTGGATCAGGGGAAATTCGGCAAAGCCTGAGGTATTTGTGAAGACATCTAAATCTATACTTATGCATCTAAATGCGAGGAAGACACAGCAACAGTGTTTATCTGTGGCTGTCACAATAACCAAGGCAGCTTCCAACTCAACGGCTGCAGTTCTCTCTTCCGCTTTATTATAGAAATCTATTCAATTTCTTAATAACAGCAAAGCGGCAGACAAGGTGATGTCTGAGCCAAAAAAAAAAACATATATAAGTCATAATATTTTTCAACTAACCTTTACATTATATAACTGTTTGCAAAATGAAAAAATAACAAAAATCTCTTTTCAAATTTTATTTTATAAAAGAAAGTATTTGATTTTCCGTTTTTTTTTATTAATTGGTATTGTTAATCTAACTATTCTTAACAAAATCACTCGCAGAAATACAAAAAACATCAAAACCAAACGGTAAAAAATAAATTTAAAATTCGCGAAATATTGCGTTGTCAATTCATTCTTTGCAAAATTCTCATACAATTCAAAATAAAACGTAGATAACTTAACGGTACCACGTTGAAAACGAGTGAACGCGTGCGTCATAGCTATGCGTTGCTGTATTACATTCAATTTGCTTTGGACAGTTCAGATCGTGTGGACTTAGTGCTTGTTGCAGTTATTGCACTGTGGAGGTAGACCACCGAAAAATTTTAAAGCAGGTCAGTGAAAATCCTCAAACCACCCTATGAAAATCGGCGTTAGATATTAAAAATGTTTGCCATAAAGCAGTAAGTCAAGAGGCAACCCTATAGGTCTTAAACTTACAAAAGTACTCCTCGCAAGGAGCTTGATAGAAACCAATCTTGTTGGTAGTTAATATTGAGAAGCGGCTCAACTTTTCTACTAGCAATGTTTACAGGACTGCGGAATACTATAATACCGTTATTTTTTGCGACGAGACATAAATAAGGTTATACTGTCATGATGTACTCAGTAAAGTTTGGAGAAAACCCAAGACAGCTTTGCAGCAGAAGTTGCATTTCGCCGAAAGGTGTTGGTGACCTCTGAATTTTCAATGTAGTGATGACGAATGAGTTTTGCTTGGACATTCTAAAGAACGAATTGTCAAAGATTGCGATAAGATTTGGATTTGTTGGTCATGAAAACCCAAATAAATTAAGGTACAAACTGTACCAGCACAACGACATAAATCATTGCTGCGCAGGACGTGGCTACTATATAATTGTAATCAAGTAATTGACACTCCTGCCCAGACTCCGGACTTAAATCCCATAGAAAATTGATGGGCTTTTTTAAAGAAGCGAGTGGGCAAACGGGGCCCAACTAATAAAAACGCTCTTATTAAGGTCATTCAGGAAGAGTGGAAAAAATAGCTGAAAATTATGATTTAAACTACCTTATTCAGACCATTCCCCGTCGTCTTCGAGCTGTTATAGATGCAAATGGCCATCATACCAAATATTAGTACCAACACTGCTATATTTTCCCAGTTTTAATTATATTTGCAATAATTGCTTACAAAATGCAAACAGTGAATTGACAACATAATATTTATTGTCTTTGAATTTCTATATTTCTACTCAAACTAATTGACATACTGAATATAAATATATATACAATTGACGCTTTGTACCCGCTCAAACGATTTTCGACCTCCAATTTGTGGTTTTGCGTCTTGAACCTTTTCCAACAAATGGAGGGACCTAAAGTTTGTATTAAACTTCATAGTAAAATATGTTTGACATACATACAAACATTTCTGAATAAACATACATACAAACGTAGGTATTTAAAATACAATATCCATTTAGATGAAAATACCTATTCCGGACAGAAACACATCCAAAATATAAAATAGAAATTTATAATAGAATATTTAAATTTGCAAAAAGTTTTTGATTGGTTTCCTTTACAAAGCAGCACATAAAAAAAGGCGATTCAGACGAGGTGGATGCATAGCAACATATGTATGTATAATACTGTTTGCAGCGTAATCAAGGAAAGAAAATAAATATTGTACTTCTCGATTTAACTCAAGCAGAAAATGTGTGTGTTTGTGGCGTTGGAGCAAGCGCGGACAAGCGAAATGCTAATATAATGCAAGTAAAAAACACTCGAATAAAATATTGATTTTCAGATAATATTGAAACAATTTTGTAAACCTTTTAAAAAAGCCCACCTTACGTTGGGGCAGATATTTGGCAACTGCATGAAATAATTATATACAACGTACATATGTATATGCGCTTATAAATAAATCTTAAAATACATATATTATGAATGAATATTTTTACATTGCCATCGCTGCCGACGAAAAATCCAGGCCTGGCGTTACGTTCGCTTACAAAAGTTTGAGCTTGAGATTGAGCCTGCTGAGACGATTGGCGTAAATCCTGGTAACCTGATTCCAGCTCTGTGTACGACATGACGCTTTTATTGTTGCGCACAAATAAAACATTTAACACTTGACCTTGGTTTTTCTTGAGTTTGCAATGTGTTAATTTTTGTATTCGAAATGCGATTTGCGATGTATTTTGTTAAGTTAGGAGAAAAGCGTCAACATGCAGAGGATGAATTAGGCGTTCTTGATAGGTTATAGTGCAAAATGCTTTTTGTTAACGTATTAATAGTATGATTGTTTTACGAATTGATTTTTAGTGCTCTTTTGTACTCTGGTTAAATAATTCTCGTCATGCTATAAATTTCTGAGAATCTTCTTCGATTTTTCACTTTTCACTAGACATGGCTATTGATTTTTATTTCCTCATAAGAAGAAAATAACACGATTTCACTTCTTGTTGAATTAAATTCAACACAAACATTTGTACTTGCAAATTATATAATATTAAAATGCTGTTTTCCACAATTCGCAACTGTATACACTTTTTCAGGAATAAATATTCGCCACTTTCACACAAACTTCTCTGCTGTCACCCGAAATTAACCAATTGAATCAGCTAGCCAGCAATCGTAAACGCGTCGTCCAAAATTACTTTGCTGTCAAAATGAACTCATATGGCATTTGTTGTAATTTTTTGTTTCTGCTTTGCAGACGCAATGTTTGACATTTCTGTTCGCGCTTTTGGTTCGGCCATCTTGCAGAAATCAGCTGTATTGAAATTCGTGTAGACTGGGTTAGTGTTTTTTTTATCTAACACAAACAGCTGATATTTGTTTACCAACAAATGACGTCAGCGATAAGAAATGCAACTGGAAAAATCGTATCCGCATATACCGTTTACACATATTGATATCTTCATGTATTTTTGAAAGTTTCAAAAGGATATTGCTTGCATGCATCTTTAACCGAATGAAAGACGGGGTCGTCCAGTATAAAGACATTACCGTTAAAGGGCCTATGGGATATAAGTCGCTTATTGGGACAAGCATGTCTCATCGCAAGTAAATTCTTGACTTCCTACTACTCAATATCAATCGATGTTTTAGACAAATCTACTGTCTATCGTGCCACCTCTTCAACTACGTGATGGAAATGGGAGATGGTACGGCCGGTGTACATCGGATGGTACTATTTTCTGAAAAAAAATCCAGCTACTTGCATATACTCTGCCAATGATATTAACATTATTGTACGTTGCCAGCGTGAAGATACTGCTGCATTCTTTTCTTGCGGTAAACAAGGGACAGACGAATTATAAGCTCTGTCCGAGCAGAGATGCGTACCGCTCTCAAGTGCTGTAGAGCCCTCCACTGACAAAATTGACGCTTTACATAACGCTTTTCGCATGTAGTGTTTGAGATAAAAAAATACTTCGCCAAATCATCGTAAAATTCGCATTGCCAACAACTATCGTATTGGGATGAACCACGAACTCTACAAAATCTACGAGGATATCCGCATTGTCTAGGACATCTCAACGCCTGCACTGAGTCGGAAATATTCTACATGTGGGCGAAGGAGACAGCCACGAAACCGATGTAAACACCAATTAGAAGGGAACCTTTTTATGGTGTAATAAATTAGAGAAGGCGCGCAATGCAGAGACGCCTTGCAAAGGCTGTTGCAATCAGTCGTAACTCTATAACGGGTTATAATGACAAAGGTTAGTATTCTGATGTTTTGGATGCTTCCATCAAAAGATAAAATATACAATATTTGTTTTTGCATATTTGGAAGTTGATAAGGATTCGAACACAAGACACATACACATAATGACACGCACTGCTAGTCCCTATGCTTTTGCATGCAACGGTAACTAATAAAACTTATTGAAATGCGAGAAATTAACCTACCAAATCAGCACTTGTTACTTGACGACATCACTAGGGCAACCGTAGTAACCAGTTTGTTTAAAATCATTTGGAACTTTCGAATTTTTTCATATTAAAATTCCTTTTTGGAAGCAAAACATAAAGAAATCGCGTTTTGTGTTTTTTACGATTGATTTATATTAGATATTTTCAAAAATTTTTTACAAAACTCAACCACAAATACACGATGATAAATTGTGCATCACGAGGCAAGGAAGCTGCGATCGAATTGCCGAAGATCGGTAATAAAAAGCCAATTGTGTTATCGTCGCAGCGCTTTAATAAGCTATTAAACAATGCGAACCAGACGGAGAAGCTGCGTGCCCAGAAGGAAATCGAGGAGGAGCAAAAGTACAAGGAATACTTGAAAGAGGGTTCAGACCAATTGGTGGCACAATTCAAGGGTAACATACAGCGTACGCAGGATGAAAAATTGGCGGAAATCAAATCCCATATGGAAGAGAAACTAACTAAAAGTAAGACAACCTCGCTAAGATATAAGACGAAACTTTTAGCGCGATTACCGATAAAATAAAGATCACCAGAGGCGAATGGCCTCATGTGTAACGTACAGTATACGAACAACGCCCGCTGCCCTTGTGTTTATATAAAAATTTAAGTAATCTTTTAAAATGTAGGCAACCCACCAAAACAATTAAAATTTAAATTCTAAGAGCTAATTTATTGTCTTGATTTTGGTTCTTTCTTTAAAATTATTTCCTTTCTCCATCTCTTCAGTGCAAGAGGACTTCCACAGGAGCAAAGAAAACGAAGAACGCAAGCGAGCCGAGAAGCTGGCGAAGGCGCAGAACATAATGGAACAGTTAAAACCAGGACCCAAACAATTGCACTCGGCAGCAATGCAGAGTGAGGTGCTGCGGGCGCGTAACGTCCAACGTAACATAAACAAGGAGTTCGAAAAGGCCATAAAACAGCAAGAGTGCATGGATAAAATTGTTTGCCAGCAGCAAGCGCTTGGTTTCATGCAAGAGGATATTGAACGACAAATGGAACGCCAAAAAAATATGAACACCTATAAGAAGGAGATGCTGCAGACAATTAACGAGACTGGCAAACAGCGTGCGGACATGAAAAAGCAAATCATCAAAGAGCAACAGGCAGCTCGCGAAGCAATGGATCAGGAGATTAAAGCACAAATAGAGAGAGAGAAGGCGATCATGGAGAAAAAGCGTGCGGCACTGCGTAAGAACGCGTTAGAAGCAATGAAGATGGTGGAACAACGCAGATTAAGTGTGATTTTATATTTTTTTTTTTTTTTTAATGATAACTAACTTCAAAACCTTCCAGGAGAACGAATGACCGAGGAGATTGAAAATCGGTTATGCACTGTCTACAATTTGGGTAAACAAGATTTAGATGCAGCCAAAACACAGAGCGACAAAAAGCCAACGCCAGAGGTTGAAAAAAAACAGGAAATGCAAGCACAATTCCTGCGCTGTATTCAAGCCAAAACCGAGCAGGAGGACGAGGAACGTGTGCGACGTGATATTAGTCGCATGCAACTGAAGTTCACCGCCGAGGAACAAGAGAAGATACGGAAGGATAAGGCAGCCAAACAGGCGCGCATCGAGGCTTATATGCGAGAGCTACAACAACAAAAGGAGGCAAAGCGTCGGGCCGATGAAGAAATGCGTTACGAAGTGGCAACGCGTTTTAAGAACTGTGAAATGAATCGTCTTTTCGAAGAAGCACAAAAACAGAAACGACTCGCTACAGTACAAGATACACGTAAAACATTAAAGGAACAGATGGAACAAAAGAAACGTCTTGAGAAGGAAGATCAAGAAGTCTTGCGCACATCTTGCGAAAGCAAGAACGATGAGCGGGAAGATAAGTTCTTCTTTGAGTATGCGCGCAATCTCATGGAGGATGCGTACAAAAAAGAACGTCCTCTCTATCCCTTCGTCAAGGTGGTACAGCAGTATAAACGCGAACGTGGCATCGACTGCGAACGTAAAACGCCAAAGCATCTGTTGTCACAGGTAAACATTGGCGTACGTCAACCGGGCGACAGCAAGGCAGGTGGTGATCATAGCGCTATCAAATCTCAATCAAGTTCGAAGTTAATGCCGAGTAGCGGAACAGAAAACATGTCAACCACTAAATCACCTACTGTAGGGGGAGAGAAGATAGAACAGCCACAAAAGTCTGCTAAAGATTGTATACTGGAGAATTGCCTCAAAATAACCGAGCTGATTGCGGCTGATGCTAAAAAGACTGGCGGCAATTATAATGATAAATGCGAGCCAGGTATTGTAGACTGCTTGAAGCCCAGTACACACTTAGCCGAAGCTAAGAAAGCGAATAACTGTGACACTTTGCTTAGTTCGGGCAAAGTGCGTTATACCATGCTGGAATTAAAGGGCATGAACCAATTCACAATGCCAAGAGCACAATGAACAAGTCTGTAGTAGTTAGTTGTAGCTTGTTGCAGTATAATTTAATTATATTTTTGTTTTTTGTTCATATGCATTTTTAAATCGTATATACATATAATAAATAATTTCATGAGAATTAAAAATTCCTATTTTATTTGTTGAGGAGCTCAGCTCTTTAAGTGTATATTAAATTCACAGTTTACGTTTCTTTTAAAGGTTATAAATAAATAAATAAATATTTTTTTTTTAAATATATAGAACTTTTTCGGGCAGTTTGAAGATTTGCTAATCTTTGTTTTAAATTTGAAACCTCGGTGACCTGCAAGTAGAAGAGTAAGCTGTTTAAATAAATTTTTTATACATATGTCGATATTGTTAAGACTGACCTCTTCATACTCATAGTCAACATTTTGGTTTGAATCCGCTTTCGATCACGACTAATAATTTCCATGCGTTCCTTGGGTGTAGTTTGAAAGAGTATCAGGTGTAATGTGTGCATCGCCGAAGTGAGCTTAGAGAAATAAGAATTAACAAATTATAATAAATATTACAAAGTTGTTTCGTAAGGATCAGCAAAGAGGGAGAGGTGTCTTAGAGGGATCCCTGCAAGAACGGGCTGATGGGTTCACCAACACACTCACACGATTTCGGGCAGCACTAACACATAAACAAGTTGTTTTGTTCATCTTTCTCTTCTGAGTACATACAAATTGAAAGAGAATGCAGTTAAACGGATTATCCAAATTACTTTGTTCTTATTTTCGAGTAAAACGCCATTTTTATCGTATTCTCTGCAGCAGATAGAGGTGAAAAATATATTGGCCTTTCAAATGCATTTTACATTTGTTTATTTAAAGGAACTCCATAATATACGGAACATTATGTTCATGGAGCAGGTTGAGGACAATGGATGCTTCTCATCTTGGAGCAGGAGCACATCTCAAAAATATTCAACAAAACTTTGCAGAGTACAACTGCATTTATATATTAATAACATTATGATTCGAAAATTATTTTTTAATTTTACTTAGATGTCTAAGTATAAAGAGGGAGCTGAAGAGCTGCGTGGCTATTAAAGACTTCTAATAAGAAAAACGCACACAATCTTAAAATTGTCCACGCCATTCTCTTTTTCAACGGAAAGGCAATGAAATTCTTGCTGGGCGATATGAGCTAATAGGCGAACAGCACAAAGTATTATGTTTGTTCTGCTAAGAGTTTGAAAATGATCGAGATAGACTCTATGCAAAAAAAAAATCAAAATAAAAATCGTTTGTTTATTGGGAAAACGGAGAAAACGCATTTTTCCATATACAAGTGTATTGGAATACGTAAGTCCATTTTTCAAAGTTTTCAGGAGAGCAGTTTGAAACTTCAGCCAAATTTCGATTATTCGTTTTTTATAAATAATTTCCGTTTTAATAGGAATACAACCATGAATTATAAGGACAATGTAGATATTGACCTGCTGAAAACGATAGTGAGGATATTTCAATTTCGTATTCAGTTGAGTTAGGCGTACATATGTACATATGCAGAAATTAAATTGCCGTCGTCAAAATTTGCGATATTTCCATTATTTTTATCAACGTTGTCAATTTGCATTCTGTTTACAAACGCTCAGTTCCGTTAATTATTATCAAATTTTTTGAATCACGTGAGGAGTGTGGTACAATTAAGTGAAAGGAAGTAATCGTGTTTTTTGACAATCTCCATTCTGATCCGTAATTGCACCTTTTCTATGTTATACGTTCTCTGAATGACGTACACCTTCACAAATGTAAACATCACATTTGTCTTTTCGGCTTTAAGAAAGTGATAGGAAAATCGTTCTACGTGCTGACGGGACTCAAATGAACGGAAGCCTTCCTGCAGGGTTGTTTTTTATACTTGATAACTTTTACCGGCTAAGGAAATTTCCCTAGCACGAATTTGCAGCTTGCTCTCTTAGCCTTGGCACTTTTTGGCTGGGTCTGCTAGTAATCTTTGAACATGAGATTATCGTTATATCGACTCAAATAAGATTTCAATAAAAAATTTTCTGAATTATATTTCGTGAACCTAACAAGAGTTACAATTCCAACAAAGCTAAAAGTAGCTTAAAAAATTTCGAATGAAGTCTTCACGTACTTACCTGCCTTACAAGTTGCGTCTTCAGTTTAATATTATTGGGGTTGTTCGCCTCAACTGGATCTTGACAGGTTTCAATGTGCAAGCTCAAAACAAATATTAGCGTATCTTTGATTGTCTGTGCAATTCGCTGTACTTGCTCTGTTTGGAATAGACGACGCACCAAGTAGCCACGCACATGCGCATTAATCTTGGTTGCGGCAGCTTCTCGGCGTTTCATTTCTTCATCTGCTCTTTCGTATATATACGTTGTATTCACCGTTTGCTGCTGTTGTTGTAACTAAATTTGTTTTATTACAAAGAATAGAAGAGTGGTCTTCAAGCGTAAATGTTTATAAATTTGTATTTGTAAATGAGTTGTAAGCGATTTTCAACGTTAAAATTTTTATTGAACTATTTATTTATTTTTTAAGTAGTTTTATATATTATATATAAATTTTTTTAGTATATAACACTCTTAAATATTTCTCAAAGATATTTATAGGCACGAAGGAATAGCTACAGAACTGCTGGCAATTAAGTATATTACCAAATAAACATAAAATACCATTATAACGGTACATTTCTAAAATTTAAATATTTAATCTAAAATTTTTTTGCAAGAAAGTTTTTAGATAAAGATAAAAGAATAAATACAGAAGAGTAAGAGAAATGTTAAATATAGATATATTTACATATATAAATATTTTTGCATGAAAAATGAAATTATTTCCAAATCTGCTAATGGTTAATTAAGTTAAATGCAATTATACCATTATGTCCATTATTTCCATTGAACCCCTAATACTTGCAATAAAGCGTTGAAGGATCTTTAACTACAATATTTATTTAATTTTAAAATTTTATGGTTAGGTTAGTAGATAAGGCACAGTTATAAATTTTCCATATGATTGCTTTTGATTTAAGATTAGAGAGATAGATGTATGTATAGTGTAGAAGTCTTCCTCTCCGGTTGAAATGTGTTCAACTATTTGTGTAAAACTTTTTTTTTTGAGTGTACAAAAAGATATAAAAGAAATAGCAGAGATGTATTTATTGTAATATTTGTTAGTTTTTTTTATTACATATTAGTGACTTTTAGACATAAAATAATATAATTTCAAGGGAACAAAATCAAAATTCTACGAGTTTAAAGTCGCAATTTTATTTTTTTATGGTGGGATTATAAGGCGGCTTTAGCTCACATAACCTAAGTTTTTCGTTACACTAAACGAGTTTGTTGGACTATTTTAAGGTCCCAGCAAGTTCCTTACATTATTCCATGCATGTTTTACAACGACGGTATCTTCACCTTATTGCGTTGTTTTAGTAACGAATGCCTCTTTTAAAATAAGAATTACAAAATTGAATTAAAAAAAAGATGTATTTTAGATACAATGAGGGTGGTCTGAAAAGCTTTACCCGAGCGTGAAGAGGGCTGCACTCGTTAATTAAAATAAGTGAATTTCGTTGTCCATCTGTTGACAGTTACTCACCAAAGCTTCAGTTATTTTGGATGCGCAATTTTTATATAACCGACTTTTGAGTGAGAAATAAGCAGAGTTTACGAACGTAAACTCTCCTTCAACGAATGGCGTACTCGGAATCGAACCTATTGCCGACATATTCAGCGTATGTCACCCATTGAATGCCTACACGATACTAGCCTAATTTTGCCTGCTCCTAAGTGGGGTTTGATTTCCGATACAACAACAACATGCCAAAAGAACGTGATTGTTATACATATATATATATATATATATATATATTGTTGTGTATTAACCCTACATTTAGACATATTATTATCTCTGGCCCCGACTAATTACTGTAGATGAAACTTGGGCACAGAATAAGTCCGAAACAAAATTATAGCCTAATAAGTGAGAATTTCAAAGAGAAACTGGGCTGAAGTCAACTGTCTTTTGGGATAGCTAAGAAGTTCATGACTGCCTTTCACCTGGGAACGGCCGAAACCGATTCTTTTGCATATGGTTCAAGCAGCTCACAACTTCCGGTCTTTGACTGAGTATCCTCTGGATAGCCAACAACCATCCATTTGTAAGTGAGCTAAAGTGAGAAGGCGGACCCCTTGCGGTTGTGCGTAGTGAAAAAATAAAATTGGCGAAACTATCGGAAACTTCAGCGTCCACGACGAAACATCCCCAAATGGGTTAAGGCTTATCGACTTCGCCAAACCATTTGGCTGTCTTCAGATCGTAAAATCCACAACCATATCGATCATGTTGTGCTAGACGGAAATCTACGAAAAAATGCAGCGACTTACAAAAGGTTTCAAGACCGCAGCAGACTCTTGTAGGACACAGAGATGTGATATACAACAGATGCATAGAGTATATTGCATTTATGGAGGGAACACTACTTCAGCCTGTTGAATAGCGGTTACTTGATCCTCCCAATCCATAAAAGGCGAACTCCACAGTCCAATATAGCTTCTACCGAGTGAATTGTTTGAAAGGCTAAAGCCCACCCTCAACAAACTGATTGAAATTTATCAGACTTGGTTATTCCACGATTTTCCAGATTGTCACCATGCATGCATGCATGTTCACCTTTTCATTGAGTTTAATGCTGTCTTCAAAAGCAACATAAGAAACTGCCTTTACGACACTATCTCGGAGTTCGGTATCCCCGCAAAATTTATACGGCTGTGTAAACTGATGTTGAACAACACCAGAAGCTCAGTCAGAATTGGGAAAGACCTCTCCGAGCCGTTCGATACCAAACGAGGTTTCAGATATAGTTATTCCTTATCCTGTGACTTTTTCAATCTGATGTTTTAGAAAATAATACGAGCTGCAGAGCTGAATAGAGAAGGTACAATCTTCTATAGGAGTGTACAGCTGCTGGCGAACGCCGCAACAGTCGCGCCGTGAGTTCTGGTTTCTCCAGAGAAATTAAGGAAACGAAGCCAAAAGTCTGGTAGTGACCTCATTCACAAGACGAAATATCTCCTGCCATCGAACAATCGTATTCACGAATTGGCTCCCACGACACTGATGACCGTCATAGCTTCGAGATCGTAGGTATTTTTGTCTATCTAGGAAACAGCTTCAACACCAATAATAATTTCAAAGGAAAAATCTCATGTATTTTTCTCAGGTTGGAAACACTTCCGACCACCCTCGTATTTCTCGAAAGTGATATCAGGAAGATACTACTGCGCTGAAGATTCTCTAAAATAAAATTTACTTGCCGTGCCATAGTTAAGATGAGTGACTTGGGTTTTTGACTACTTTCTCAAGCATCTAAGATCATAAAATTTAGTATTCTGCGCTAAATACTATAATATTCAATTGAAAGTGAAAATAATCAAAATCGGGCGTGTACAACATATGTCACTAAGACTCCAAGTTATCTTCCTTTATGAATACGGACTCAACATCTCTTACGTTGCAGGAATGGAATATTTCCTAACACAACCCCATTGTAAGCGCTAGAGTTCCCTTGAACCCGACTCTCTGAAATGCACAGTAAGAGTTATTCAGAAAACCAAGTTGTAGAGAGTGCAAGAGCAATTTAGTGCAAGGACAATTTAAAGCCGTCTCGAAATGCCAAATTCCCTAGGCAGTTGTCGCTTGCAAATTTCGTAGGTTGAATAAATATTATTTAAAATTAAATTTCCAAATCCTTCAATTCTAATTGGTCTTTAGCTTACTAATTTATAACTATAAAAAGTGCAAAAGTATACTATTAAGGCAGCAACACACATAATAAATGATTATATTTTGTTTAACTTACACGACTGCTTGACGGTCCACATGTGGAGCCATTCGCGCGTCCAGTATTGTTGGCTCCATTATTGCTGTTTATCGACATACTCCTGACTGAAGCGGACGGCGAGAGATCGTGTGAGAAGAGACGTCGCCGAGGCGTGCTCTGTGATGTTGTTGGCATTGTAGAAGAGCAAACAGATAGCTCTAATGATGGTAATTGACTAGCAATAGAGTTTATGTCCATTGGATTATTTACCACAGAACTGTGAGCACTTATGGTTGGAGATTGTAGCGTTACAGATTCATTATATTCCGATCTAGCTCTCGGTGAATTATCGACCGACCCATTGTAATCACGCTCTACGCGTTGATGATTAACGTGCGAAACGTTATTATGTATTTTCATGTTGCTTACTTTATTGCTAAGCTGTTCGAAAAAAAATCTTTGCTGGTCTTCGAAAACCTGTTGCATTCTTTGCTGTTCACGCTTTTGATGCGCCAATAAGTCGAGAAATTTTTGACGGTGTTCTGCTTCAATGCCATGTAGCAAGGGACTGGTGGAGTGATAACGCGGACTATCCGTCGGTATTTTAGCTGTTTGTATGCTCGGCATTGACGGCCTCGGCTTCATTTGTTTAATAGCTGATGTGCCGGAAACGGATTTTTTCAGTTGGCGCGCAATTTTCGGTTTGATAAGTTTTTGTTCATAAGGCGAACGTTTGGTTCTGTTTGCAGCAGCATGCTTTGAAGATGGACTTGTGATATTCGTAACGGACGGTTTTACTTGGAGACGCGTTGCCTGCGCCCGTGCTTTGAGGTCTACTTTTTGAACACGCTTCGCCTTCGATTCGACGGTGTCACGTGTCGCACTCATGGAAAACAAGTTGGAACGTTTAGTGGGATAGTTTTCATTGGGTACTTGCTGTTGGCGAATATGATCAATCAATGCTTTCGAAGGACAGTCTAATGTGAAAGAGTTTGAACGAACTAAAACGGTTTCTTTTTGAGCACCACGTTTAAATTCCTGGGATTTCGTTTTCGGGTCGTGTGAACTCTCTGATAGTAAAGGTTTTAAGGATGGACTTGTTGCAGATCTTTGTGGTGGTCTTATATTAGAACACTTTGGTGAATTTTCTTTTGTGTCCTTGCCGGTGTAGTTTTCAAATTTTATTATTTTGCTTGTGATATTCGTTACTTTGTGGTGAGTTTTCAAATCTTGTTCTAGATTCATTCTTGATTCTACGCAATTTGAGCTTTCTTCTGAACTGATTTCGTCTTGCAAATACTTGTTTAAATCCATTTTAGTCTTTTCAGGACTATTCACATTTATAGCATCTATGCTGCTCTGCTCTCTAACAGCGTCACAAAATGAACGTGTGCTTATGATTGGTGTTGGCGGATCAATACATATTGATGGTATTTTTTTTAACATTTTTTCGCCACGCTGACGTTGCAAAAAATTTATATTAGCTGTCTTATCTTCTTCTACTAATTCAACTTTCTGTAAAATTGGTTTTTCATCCGGATGATCTAAATTTATTTCTTGCTGTTGTTGTTGGATCAATTGTACCTCCTCCTCTGATAAGGGCGAAATGATTGTATTGACGCGGTGATCATATATCAATGTTTCAGATTTTTGTAATTTTTGCAAACGCTGCATTAAGTTTAATTCCGAAATCGTAGGCTGATGGATTTCCAAATCTATTTCACTGCATTCTCCGGCTGTTTGGCGTGTAAAATTAAAGCAGGTTGTGCTGAGCATCAAAGAATGTGTATCCCGCTCATTTTCATTTTGAATTAATAAGTCTGTTAAAAGCATATACGACTTTTCTGCTTCCTTACGTTGAACATCCAGTTCTGTCATGTCTTCAGATAAGCTGCTATTACCACTACCCCCATTGTTGTTGTCAATTGCATATGATCTATCGTTGAATTCTTCAAATTCTAGACTATATGTTTGCTGTCTTCTTTTGCTATCTGACAGTCGTTGCTCGAGTTTTACAGCCTTCTCCTTCAATTTCTGCATTTGACGGCGTTTTTCAGCAGTCATCTGGAAAATATTTTCACAATGAATATTAACACATTTTGTTACGCTTCAGTTAAATTTACTGGGAAATACATAGTACTGGCTTTCTGTCGAGCTTGACACTAAGCTTTGATATAAACTTACTAACGGTGGCAGAATAGGAACTCCATCGATGCGGAACACCGACACATACTTCTGTGTTGATTTTTCAAATTTCGGATTTATGCGCTTGGTAGCCGCTGCACTCCTTACCTCTGTATCATCCATAATTATAACCATAGATGGATATTGATGCGTAAGTATGAATTTCACTGAAAATCACGTTTGCTAATGTTAATTTAATTAGCAATATGAACAAAGAAATTTTGAGCTATGATAACCGTAGAAAAATATTATTAAGTTAAATAAAATTTATATCATTTTGAGAGATAATTTCTTCATAAAAGGTCAAAAGTAGTAAAAGCACATATAAAAATCATGCAGTAACTTTTCAAATATATTAAATTTTTGTTTTCACCTGTTCAATTTGTTTACGTTTCTATGGTTACTGCCTGTAATCGCTCAAACATGAAGCTAAATTAACAAATAGCCCGCTTTTATACCTCTGTGTTTAGGTATAACTCTTTTGTTTATGAACACTAATAAATTATTCAAAAATCTATATAAATGAATACAAGCGCGCCCTAAATAAAATCAGTTAAAGCACGTACAACTTTACCAACAACAATTCTTATTAATTTCTGGTTTTCTGCATCTGTCAACAGAGAACCAGTCAAATAATGTCTTTCTGATAGACAATTCACAATAGATCGAAGGTGCAGAGTAATTACAGAGAACGTATATTAATATGCGTTCTTTGGTCATGCATACCCAGAAATCTTAAGTTAAGCTAAATTAACTCCAATCGTAATTCAGAATATATTTTCTTCTTTGGTCTTAACACCTTTTTGGCAAAAGTCAATGAGAATATTTTAGAAATTGCAATTAGGTTATGTATATATGTCGATCCTAGGCTTGTGTAATCATTAGATCAGTTGTGTCGTAGATCGTAGCATGAGGTCGTTGCGAAATCGATCTAATCAGAAATAGCGGATGTTTCGAATTGGCGGGAAACTGCAATAACACAACTATTAAATTATAAACAAACAATTCTGAAATTGAATAATTAAAATTTGACATGAGTAGATTAAAAAGAATAACATCACCAATGAAACAGCAAAATGAGACTCCAACGAAAAAGTTAAAGTGTGGTAAAAGTGATATAAATGAAAAAGATCTCCATGGTTTTTCTTGCTCAAGCCTGGAACATCTCTTTGATGGCGATGATGATTTTGAGGCTATTATAAATGGTGAAAAAATGCAACCAGTTCATATCGAGCGTTTAGACCTCAGTGTATGGCAGCGTTGTATTGTGGTGACCGCAGAGCGTGAAAGGCCTTCATTTGATTTGGTGTTAGAAGTGTGTTTAGCTACGAATGAACCAGTGGAGGAGCTTGACAAGGAGAACAATGTCAAACTAACACAATGTCGCTTACAACAGCAATGGAGTCAAACCGACATAAAGGTAGATGACATCGTTTCACTGCTGGCAGTTTGGGACGAAAAACTGTGTTGTTACACAGTGAATAACGACCAAGGATTCTGTGTTACTAATCCGGATACGTTGATTTCTAGTACTAGCGTTGTCGGCTCGCTCTTCTGTAGACGAAAGGCAGTGCTGCAAGAGCGCTTCAAAGGCATTGATGCCAACAGCAAAGTGGTAGGAATATATATTGTGTTTGTAATTTTTATATCTTACTCCTTCAAAGTCAATTTGTATAATTTGCAGATGGTGGTTGGTTCGATGGTGCATGAAATGTTGCAATTAGTATTACGGAAGGGGCTCGAAAGTTCACATGATATTGAAACTGCTGTGCAGAAGTTATTAGACGCTAAGGACACAGCTTATGAATTGTATGCGAATTTAATGACAAGAGACGAGATGAGCTTGGAACTCGGAAAATTCGTATCAAATGTAATAAATTTTGTTGATCAATATATAAAAGGAAAACCAGCAGCGGAGGTATGTAGATTCATTTACAAAGTATTATATTTTACATTTAAAAAAAATTCTTAATACCCACATATTTTTTATAGCAACAAAAGGACAACTTTCAAGGTACTATCGTAGATGTACAAGATATTGAAGAAAACGTTTGGGTGCCACAACTCGGTATTAAAGGTAAAATCGACGTGTCGGTGCGCATCAGGCAACGAAAACATGAGAAAGTATCAAATGCCATACCGCTGGAATTAAAAACGGGACGTGCGACTTTTTCTATGGAACATAAAGGTCAAGTTATTCTCTATCAAATGATGCTCTCAGCTATTGGTCGCGAAACGAATTCAAGTTTATTGCTTTACCTACGTGAAGGCATAATGCGAGAATTGCGCGGCAAACGTAATGAGCAGCGGGATCTTATAATGTTGCGTAACGATTTGGCTAATTATATTTCACAACGATTTAGCCAAATACTAACCGATATCACAGACGCTGTCTTTGAGGAAGGAAAATTCGCACAACCCTTTAAACTACCTGATCCTATTTCGCATCACAGCGCTTGTGGTAATTGTGAATATGCAACAATTTGTTGCACTTTTGCAAAAACCGATCCGATGCTACAATTACGAAAGGGTCATCCTTTATTGACTGTTATGCAAAACGTAACCGAACATTTAAAGGAAGAAGATTACAAATACTTTATGCACTGGTGCCGTTTGCTATCATTTGAAGAGCAGGAAATGAGAAAATCCAACAATTTGCGTGCTTTATGGACAAATACGCCTGAGCATCGTAAGAAAAACGGTTTAGCAATTATAGATTTACAGCTGAAAGATGCTACATGTGAGGGTGTGCATTATCTAAATACATTTGTGCTTCAATACACTGACGATAATAAGGATCTGGATCTACTACTAAGTGGCGTGAGTACGATAGTTTCTACTTCTATCTTTAAGGTTGCAAAGAATATGTTTTTATTTTAGTTTGCCGTAGGAGAATATGTGGTTGTAAGCACACGCAAGCGTTTGGCGGTTGCTGCTGGCAATATAGTAAGCATAGCTGCTAACGAAGTAACCGTTAGTCTTGAACGCGATTTAAATAAAAATTATGCAAAGGATTTATTCATAATTGACAAGCATGAATCGCAATCGGGCAATTCGTTCAATTACACGAATGTCAGCTTACTTTTAGATAATAATGAACGTGCGAAGGTGTTGCGCGATATTGTAGTGCAGTGCGTGCCACCAACTTTTCGCAAAGTGCTGCCGAAGATCGTTGCAACTGAGGGTGCCAGCATACTTAAGGAACTGAATTCGGTGCAACGGTCAGCTGTGTTGAAAGCTTTAACCGTGGAAAGTTATATGTTAATCAAAGGTTTGCCAGGCACGGGTAAGTCAAGGCACCGTTAACTTTTTTTTTCCAAAATGAACAAATATCTCTTTCTCCATCACAGGTAAGACACAAACACTAGTCGCCATTGTGCGCTTACTACAACTCATGGGCAAGTCAGTGCTTATTACCAGTCATACACATTCCGCTGTTGATAATTTGTTGGTGCGTTTGAAATCGTACAAGTTGCCCATGTTGCGTTTAGGTGCAGGCGCACGCATTAACGCTGAACTGCAGGAGTTTGGCGAAAGTACACTACTAGAGGACTCCCACACCGTAGAGGCCATAACAGATTGTTACAATTCATACAACATTGTCGGTGTTACTTGTCTGGGCTCAGCGCATCCGTTATTTCTGCACCGTAAATTCGATTATTGCATAGTTGACGAAGCGACGCAGGTAATGCAGCCGACAACATTGCGTCCACTGTTCTTTTGTGATAAATTCATACTGGTTGGTGATCCCGAGCAACTGCCGCCTTTAATACGTTCTAAAGAAGCGCGTCAACTAGGCGCTGATGAGTCATTATTTGCGCGTCTTGACACGACAGCAGCGACAGCGGTGTTGACACTACAGTATCGTATGAATAAAGCCATCACACGGCTGGCGAATGAGCTCACCTACAAAGGCGCGCTACAATGCGCTACCAAAGAGATAGAACTTGACGCATTTCAATTGCGTTTTCCAAGTGATAGAAAGCCAGAGAAGTGGCTGCAGCGTGCCTTGCAAACGCACATCGATCAAGCCGTGTTTCTACTAGACACTAAAGATTGCAGTAAACGTTTGGCTGAATTCACCAAAGATGGCTTGCGAAATGCACCCCTCAATGTTGCTGAGCACTTGATCACAAGTGAGGCCAAACAGCAGTGTGCGCAATCATCACCTACTCTGCAGAAAACAGGAAATGGCAAACGCATTTCTAAATATACAAATTACTGTGAAGCTGCCGTTATTTTGCATGTCGTCGAGCAATTACTCAGAGCTGGCTATGCGCCTGACCGTATTGGTGTGATTGCGCCCTATCGTGCGCAAGTCGAGCTATTACGTAGTTTAATGACACAATTTGCATCGCATCACCAAAACGGCACGGTGAATATGAATTTTGCTGCTATTGAGGTTAACACAGTGGATCAATATCAAGGCCGTGACAAAGATATAATACTCTTTTCGGGCACTAAAACCGGCGGTGTGGAAACTAATGAACAATCGCGTGATGCCGAGATTCTGGCAGATAAAAGACGCCTCACTGTCGCTATAACTCGTGCCAAGCGCAAGTTGTTGTTAATCGGCGATGCCGAGTGTTTGGCTAAATATACGCCCTTTCATCTACTTCTGGCACACATACCGAGTTACTGCAAACTGCAATTGGACGATGGTAAGCTTGGCTTCGATTGGCACGAGTTATTTCAGAATTTAAACAACATTATTAAGAGTTAGTGCATTTCACTTAATTTAGCATGAATTTAATATTCATTAAGTTGCAAATCTTTAATAAAATTATATCATTTTGAAAATCATTGTAATGCCACCTGTCTGCTTGGATGAATCCAGAGATGCGGCAGATATGGCGCATATTTAAAGTACACCTGATTGCATTGCATTGGCGCATCAAAATTATGAAGTCGAAATTTGGTTGTTGTTGTATGAAACTGAAGAAGAGCATTTTCATTCTTGTTGTTACTTTAAAATTAAGTTATTCTACTCACATCTTCGCCTTTTCCACACAAAGCGCCTATAATGCAACCCATTTTTATGCTGGGACTTTAGTATTTGTTTTATTTATTTAAATAGTTTTTTTTTTATAACAAATGATTTAATGACATTGTAACTAGAGTTTCGAAAAAAAATTGTAATAAATATTTACGAAAAATGTGACCAACTTTTCTGTTTTGCCTTGGGTTTGTTGGGAATTTTTATTACATACTTTTTTGATTGCGTAGCGTTTGTAAGGCCCGGTTACAAATCCTGGTTTGACCAACATCCAAACGCTTTAGAAAATTAATTTAAATAAAAAAATAAGCTGAAATTCTCTAATTGTGGTCACACCTCGGCCCCTTGTAACTACTGAAGTGCTTTCGGTCGATCGCCTCCTTCAATTTGTGGTTTGCGTCTTGATGGTTTTCCAGCAAATGGAAAGCCGGCTCCGAACGGCGTACGGTTTTTTAAGAGCTTTTACTTTATGTCATAAATACAATCGGAGGTGTTGACATTCGCTGACAAGGGGCAACCGCAACTAGAATATTGAATTTAATTTTTTTATTTACCTTAATTTTTCATATCTTTTGGGTGTGACGTTATTAGAGTAAAAAAATAAAGAATGAGTTGTACATTGCCTGTGCTAAATTGCAAGGCTAGAGGGCTGAACAGTGGAGAGCCGTTATTGGATGTGAATGGGGAACTTTTTGGGGAATGTTGCGGGAGTGACTGTCCTTGGCCGGATAAAAATCCTGGTCGTTCCGGTATAAAGACCCAACTGTCGCGGGACTATTGGATTTTAGTCGGCTCTTACGACAGGCATGCCTTACCGCGGGTAAACTCTTGAGCCCCTAACCCGCAGGGTGAATGGTGCGTAATGCTGCTGGTGGCACATCCGTAGAGGTTTGAGATAATAGTGAGCAAGTGCGTGGCCCAGTTTATGGGTATTTACAAGTTCGACACTACCCATCTTTGTACATGCCTACTAAGTCCCACTCATTTAACACATCTACTAATTCGAACACTTTGAAACAGCTTCATTCCTGGGTCTCACATTGAATGGACTCGGCGACATCGAATAATTTTGACAGCTTCGAAGCGGGACGCGTACGGCATTTCAGTCGCAGCTGCCAGCGAAAATGATGATTCGAGACCGAAATCCGAAAGTAAAAAAATGAGGTGACCACAGGGTTTTATGAGTTGTCGAGTAGTGGAAATCTGGTAAGAATAAGAGAAATTGATAGGAATATTCCAAAATACAGCAATAAAGAGCTATGTATAGATTCAGCAGGACACAGTAACTGTATCCTAATGTCCAATACACCGCTATGAAAAGAAATTAAGCCGAGTGTACGGCATAGCCGCCATCTTTTAAAGGTGAGATTTTTGTTCTAGTTGATGCCTCAACCAATTTACATATAAACAAGGACAGAATGACAACCGGCTTGACAAAATCGCTGCTATTGGCAGAACACTTTTAAAAATATTATAGGCGCAAATTTATTTGCCAAAAATCCCATACGAAAGACCCTCTATACCGAGAACAGCCATCGAAATTTATGGCGTAGTGAGGGGAATTCCTCTATGTTTTGATGATGAAAGCTTAAAAAAAGCCGTGTCTAACATTCCAATACTATCCATCCAACGTTTCACTAGGAAGGATACTGCTAGTGACTTGTACCTTCCCACAACCACGGACAAGTTAGGCTTTAAAGGAGATGGAATGCCCAAATATATCATTTACGAGTATAACTAGCAGTTGATTTCTACGTAGCACCTCTGCGACAATGCAATAAGAGTGGTCGTTTAGGACACACGCAATTGTCATGTAAAAGTAAAGCAAGATGTCTGAGCTGATGCAAAACGGATTCCGAAGTTTCAAGTTGTACTAATAACAAATGCATTCTGTGCGGCAAAGAAGGCCACCCATCTAAGAATAAGGATTTATGCACACATTGGGAAAAAGAACTTAGTTTCTAGGAAGGAAGCTCTAGAGCAATACTTCGCCCGGAAGAATAGCTTCAGTTTATTGGTCGATGATGACTCTTTTTCCCATGCTGAATAGGAAAGCAATGGATACAATCAATAAGGACTCGAACATCAACAGATATTTTACAAGGAAAACATACAGCCTAGCTACCAAAGGAAGTGTTGTTAGACAAGTTAAGCGGCCATCCCCTAAACCAACAGATCCAACGGATAATCCGGCCATCAACTCCGCTAAAAACCAAAAAGGTTTGGTATAGCAACTGGAGCGTAACAGAACTGATCAGACTAACACAAAAAGCAACAATTGGGAAAAAGAACAATGATTTGTTCAACGACTTACAAGTCGTTAAAGGACCATTTGTCCAGTGACAATGCAGTGGAGGTCTTCTTCTGGAGTGCTTACATCCAATTGGACGACATGACTTAGCCAGCACAGCCGTTTTCTCTTCATTCGCTGAACTATGTCAATATCATCGTATAGCTCGTACAGCTCATCGTTCCATCGTCTACGCTATTCGCCGTTGCCAAAGCGCAAAGCACCATAAATCGTTCGAGTTTTAGAGCCGACTCATCAGATGTTGACATCGTCCACGCTTCTGCGCCACATAGTGGGACCGGTATGATGAGCGACTTGTAGAGTTTGGTTTTCGTTCACCGAGAGAGGACTTTACTCTTCAATTCCCATTTCCTTTGCTTCTTTATCAGGTATGGAGAAATCAGAACTCACGGCGCGGTTGTTGAAGCCAATAATGTCGATATCATCGGTGTACACCAGCAGCTGTACACTCTTGTAGAAGATTGTACCTTCTCTATTTAGTTCTGCAGCTCGTATTATTTTCTCCAGCAATAACTTAAAGAGTCACCTTGTCTGAAACCTTGTTTGGTATGCTGATAATATGGTCTAACCAACGGAGCAGTTGGCACATTCCTTAGACTATACCGTTTTTCAGGTTGTTGGTATTTGCTGTCTCTGAAAGCAGTATGGGTATAATGAGCAGTTTATAGAGCTTGCTATGCGAAATGAAGGCTGACATCGTGCAAGAACTCATTAGATGCAGACCAATGGAGTATTGTAATTTCCTTAGCTGCAGCATGCAGAAATAGTAAATGTTGTACCAAAACCCATTTATATCGAGTTCTTGATGAATACACTCAGAGAGCAAGTCGGCTGTCTCTTGGGATCGAGGCCAGAAATTATCTTCGCTGCAGGAAGATAGTCGTTTAGTCCTAAGACCTCGGAAAGCAAACACAACTCAAAAGGGCCGGTAGTAATTTGATGCATTTTTACTCGAAAATAGGCAAGTAGCTCTGGGATTGATTTGACCTTGGTATCCGTTTTTGCAGGGGCCATATAAAAGAGCGCAATTTTCGTGTCGGATTTGTGGTGGATAAGCGTCTCGCCACAATCCGCATCAAAGCGAAATTTTCCAGCATATCGCTGTGTTTCGCCCACGCCCCGACGGAAGAGAAGGACCATTTGGCCAAAGATGCCTTTTATGAGCACCTAGAGCATACTTACGAGCGCTGCCCCCGACACGACGTGAAAATCGTGCTTGGCGACTTTAATGCCAGGGTGGGCAAAGAAGGTATCTTTGGTACAACTGTTGGACAATTCAGCCTTCACAACGAAACATCCCCTAATGGGTTGAGGCTGATCGACTTCGTCGGGGCCCGAAATATGGTTGTCTGTAGTACTATTGTAGATTCCAGCACAAAAAATACATCAAGCTACTTGGCTGTCACCGGATCGTAAGACACAAAACCCGATCTATCATCTTGTGATAGCCGGAAGACATGTCTACAGAGTTCTTGACGTGCGTACACTTTGAGGACCCAACATCGACACGGACCATTATCTCTTCAAGCTCCCTACGTACAGCTGCGACGAAACTATTGGATTTCGTAAAGGTGGCAAAAACAGCTGCTGCGTCGAAGTGGAGAGAAAACAGACTGCCTACCTCGCAACCTTACGGTCGACCACAACACGTGCGGGATGGGATAGATACCGAGAGATGAAGAGGGAAGCAAGACGCATTTGCAGACGAAAAAAGAAAGAGGAAGAGATGCGTGAGTATGAAGAGCTTGAGAAGCTGGCCGACAAGGGTATTGTTCGAAAGTTCTTTGAAAAGATACGACGACTTACGGAAGGTTTCGAGACCGGAGCAGACTCGTGTAGGACACGAAGAGGTGATCTAGCCACCAATGCCCAGAGTATACTGAATTTATGGAGGGAACACTTCCCCAACCTGCTGAAAAGTAGCGAAAATAGAGAATCCGGAGATGGTTCCATTACCTGATCATGAAGAAATTAGAATAGCAATCGCCCACTTAAAAAACAACAAAGCGGCGGTAGCTGACGGCCTACCGGTAGAAATATTCAAACATGGCGGTGAAGAGCTGACAAGGTGCATGCATCAGCTACTTTGCAGAGTATGTTCGGACGAAAGCATGCCCGAAGTTTGGAATCTTAGTATTCTCCGCCCAATCCATAAAAAAAGGGACCCCACAGTCTGCGCCAATTACCGTGGAATAAGCCTCCTTAGTATCGCCTATAAGGTCCTGTCGAGCGTATTGTGTGAAAGACTGTAGCCCACCATCAACAAGCTGATTGGACCTTATCAGTGTGGCTTCAGACCTGGTAAGTCAACCATTGACCAGATATTCACCATGCGACACCACCTATTCGTCGATTTTAAAGCAGCCTTCGACAGCACGAATATCTGCATTTTCGCTGCTATGTCTGAATTTGGTATCTCCGCAAAACTTATACG